TCGATGCAGATTTTATTTGGGCTTAGAGAAATGAAAATATTTAGCATTTTACACAGAAAAATATGTAAGAAGAGAATAAATGAATGCATTTTATATATGTTATTTTATTTTGCTTTTTGAAGATAAAATATAATGTCAATTTCTATTTAATTATTTTTAGTCATAAAGTGTTACATTATTGTAATTAGCTGCATCTGTCTGTTACTCCTTTTTAATCACAGAAAACATATTTAGTTGTGACGTATCTGAGCTTTGAAAATATATTAAAAGAATCTGGAAAGAATTTTTCCAAGCTTATATTTAATGAAATAATAATGGACATGCATCGTGACGATAACTATTTTTCTTAATGTACGGGCTTTAAAGTTGACCAATAATATTGCACATGATGGCGAAGAAAATAATGTTTATTTCTGAGAGGCATTGCAATGATAATTATCTTATATTTTGAATTGCTTTAAACTTGACTAACAATATTCCACATGATGGTGAAGAGAAAAATGTTTATTTTTGAGATTAATTTCAATGACAATCCCTTCATATTTTGAATTGTTTTTTATATACATGCTTTAAAATTGACCAACAATATTCCACATGACCTTCAAAAGAAGAATGTTTATTACTGAGGGGAATTTGAATGATAATTCCTTCCCATTTGAATTTTATTTTATGTATATGCTTTAAAGTTGCCCAACAATTTTCCACATGATGTAGAAGATAGGAATGTTTATATCTGAAAAGAATTTAAATGATAACTCCCTTACATTTTAAATTTTTTTAATGTATATGTTTTAAAGTTGACCAGCAAAATTTCACATGATGTTGACGAGAAGAATGAGTATTTCTGAAGAGTGTGAATGATAGTTTTTTACATTTTGTAATTGTTTTTAATGTATATGCTTTAAAGTTGACCAACAATATTCCACATGATGGTGAAGCGAAGAATGTTTATTTTTTGAGAGAAATTTCTATATAACCGCTTTACATTTTGAATTGTTTTAAATAATTCGAAAACTTCACCGAAAGAAGTTGTTTGTTAGCAATACTTATTGATTTATATCGTGTTTTATTAGGTGATTTTAGCGGCAATTCAAGCTTTTGCTTGTATTCTAAATAACCGTTAATATCTTTGGGCACATATAACCCTATTGCTCCAGAAGTGTCCAAATACGAATAAATCATGAAATCCTCCATACTAACAACTTGATAATCATAAATAAATTGCTGAATTATAATTTAATCTATAATTTTAAAATACCTTAATAAAGAGTTTAGGCCTATACTTTCTTATCTGAGGCAATCTAGGCTCTACATACAGGTACAAAACCACTTCGAACAACTAAGCAAATGATGAAAGTAAAATAAAACATTTAATTGTCATTTTTTAGATCAATAAAATAATATTCAAAATATTTCCATGCATATCATTGTTATTATTAACCATTGTTGAAAAATAATGATATTGTTATCATTATTATAGCATCATTATTTTTCAAGAATGATCTAGAAGGCATAAATGTAATATTCTTTTTTAAGTAAAAGAATAAAAAAAAAATAGAAGAAGCACTAAAAATTGTTTTTAAAATTGTCTTAATTTGTGTTGTAAAATCAATATTGAAAAGAAAATTATGAAATGAATTGTGAAGTCCATTTCTCAGAAAGATTTAAGCCTGGTTTCGTTTACTTAATTCTTAGGCATTTCAAATATATTCCAGGAAGACCTTTCATCATTTTTTATCATTAATTTATTTTTCCAAAAAACACTCATTAAATCTTACAATCATGACTATTCTCTGATATCATCCCATTAAGATTGTTTTTTCTTCTTTTTTTTTAATAGAAAAGAATGAAACCTTATAACGTATTATTGCTTTTCTTTAGTTTTCAACTGATTTCAATCCAACTTGCAAAAGCAGGGAAAAAAGAAAGAAAAAAAAATTGCAAATTGGATTGGAGAACAAGTTCAAAAGGTTTCCTTAACACATCATCACTGTGAGACAAAAAGGATGTAATTGAAGTACCATCGATCACACTAGATTCATTTACTTAACGAATCAGAAAAACCTATAAAAGTGCAATAAAAAAAGATACTTCATCCAATACGATGACTAGCAAAGTAAAAAAAAAACAAAGATTTTCTTTCTTTCATGCAGTAGTCCTTAAGCTATGTCTTCCAATTTTATATTTTTTTTTTCTTCCTTTCACGTGGTTGATATCGCTACAACTTGTGCCATGAGATCTGCAGAGCACAAAAAAAGAAATGGCAAGATTGTTATCTAGACGCTCCCCGAGGCCATTATAAAGCAATGCGGAGGGTTTTTGTTCTGACCTGTCAATGAGTACTAGGTGAGGAAAGGAAATCGCCATCTTTGTTCCATTTTCATATCTCCAATGGAAAAATAATTTTTAAGACTCAGTTTCATTCTTTTTTTTTTTTTTTTTATGTGTGTGCAAGAGAATAATTAACGTGAACAATCTTAATTTTTGTGACAATTTTATATTCAAAGTACACATTTTGAATTTCAATTTATTTTATTGTGCGAAAACACTTCAAATTTTAAACATACTTTCATGCTTAAACGTAATCAAACATACTTTCATGCTTCAACACAATCAAACATACTTTCATGCTTCAACATAAAAACATGCTTTCATGATTAAACATAATCACACATACTTTCATACTTTCCACTTTTAATCAATCATACAATCACTCTTTTTATTATTAATCAAACATATTCTCATGCTTCAACATAATCAAACATACTTTCATGCTTAAACATAATCAAACATACTTTCAGGCTTTCAATTTTTAAACATTCCTTCATACTTTCCACTTTTAATTAATTATAGCAATGGTGAGGAATGAAAATTTTCATATGAGGTAGGGAATAAAGCTATTATAAACCATTGTTGGTTTCTAGTCTCAAGTTGTTCCGCGGCCTGATGGGCAATTGGCTAGCGTTCTGACCATCGGTACCACATATTTCAGGTTCTAATCCTGACTGTGGCATGGATGTTTGTGAGGGGCTCGAATCCACGTTAAACAGTAGGTCTTAGTCTAATTAGCCGGAAATTAGCAAAATATGACCGTAGAGCGACAAACCAAACCAAGTTGAGCAACCAATTATATGCCATAGTTAGTTTCTTGACATACTTTGAGCGCCAATTATAAAACCTACCCTCCTTGGCTATCCCTAGTTTCTTTACATCATGAAAAGTTTAAAATTGTAAATATTTCAACAGGAATGCTAAGTGCTACATTAAGATGCATTTCTTGCAAAAAGGAGACTGAAGTTCAGGTATAGTTACTTGTACTTGAGTCTTATTTTTGTTATATAAATCATTGTTATTAAATTAATTTATTTAATCTTTTATTTTTTAATATAATTTATTTTATACAACGCAAAGCAATGATTACAAGGCAATGGCTGCAACTCAAAGCTTAAACTGCAACTAACAAACTTTAATTTTTTAAAAAATGGTGGTTCACCTGTCTGTCTTCACTCATCCAGAATCAACATTGGTCCCGCGAATGTTCGGACTAAAGCTAAAACTATTATGATGGAAACAATGCTTTACACTATATTTTTTTCTAATTTAAAGTGTATCAATAAAAATCCATTTGGAACTTTAATTTCATTTGTATTGCTAGAATACTTCACAACTGTCTATATTCTACATGAAGAATTTTCAGAAATGATCAGATGTTTTTCATAAAACATTCAAAGATACTTTATGAAAAATCATTCTGATTTCTTTCCATAAATATGATGATATCATTTATTAATATATATCCATATATTCGTAATTTGAAACATTTTTTATTATAATATTCTTGTAAGTGCAAATTTATTAACAAAATCAATTATCAGAGTCATTCTATAAAAATTATTTTCATCGATTTTAAAGGAAATACTACACTGTCGGATTCTTGCAGTTACGAAATTCCGCCGTTACCTTTGGAAAAAAAATACATTAAAGAAGAAATCTGAAGTAGGAAAGTCTAGCTCTCATGTTCCAAAAGCTGCCTTTGATCTTTTAAATTATATTTGAATTAGCTTTTCAAGAAAAATGAAACTGTCCTCGGGAAGAACTTTAAAGCGAAGGTTTTAAAACTCTTTCCCCTTCTGTAACTATTTTAAAATTCGACAAAACTAACTTTGAAGTATACAAATAATTATACTACTATCTAAATGATATTTTTGTGCAGAAGTTGGTTCACATATAAAGGTGTTAAAATAGTAAAGCATTCAGTTTTATTTATCAAATACAGGGAATTTATAACTGTATTTGTGGATATTTATAAGAAATTTATATTTGTTATTTAAATTACACAAGTTTATTTTAGATGTAATATTTTTCAGTTTCCATTTATTTCAATTGCTGTAGACATAGCATATAAAAAGAATGATATGGCACATAAAAATAGTTTGCAAAAGAGTTTTAATATAAATGGAATATACTTTTTGCGATTAATTAAATTAGATTTTATTTTACTTTTAATCTAGAAATTTTTGTTTTATTATTTCCTTTTATTTTTATAAGAGTGTGATAGAGATTCTATGAAGAAACTTATTTAGTATTTTTCTCATTTACTATATTAAACTATAGGAATTCTATTTTTTGGCAGAATTCAAGTAGATAAGAAATAAAAACTTCTAAAAGAACCTTAAAATAATTTTTTTATAATTAATATAGTATATATTTCTATTCATGTCCAATATTTATTTGTTGTTGTTGTTTGTTGTTTCTTATCCCACTTGGCTGGCCAAGCCCACGAGCCCATATGGACTCATGATTGAAGGGGAAGGAAGCAGCTTCTGTTGTGATGGAGCACCCGTAGGTTGACTTTTGATCCGTGACGCTCTTCAAGACCGGGACCTACGGCTTAAAGTGGATTCCGAACCACTACAAACATCCATGGCACCGCCGGGATTCGAACCCGAAACCTACCGAGCGCCAGAGCGCTGTCGGCCATTCAGGTCCCAAATTCGCCAACGGCAAGCAGTTTCCCAGGTGGTCACCCACCCAAGTACTGACCGCGCCCAATGATGCTTGACTTCGGTGATCTAACGAGAACCGGTATATTCAGCATGGTACGGCCGTTGATATTTATTTGTAAACTCAGCATATTCTTTTTATAGATTTTCCATTCATAATATTGCTTTTTTAATATGTATGTATATTTATTTTATATTCTTGTATCAAATATTAGTATACATTCGTTTTAGTATGAAATATTTATTTATTTATTTATTTTTTTTTAATTTTTTTTTTTTACATTTCTTTTATCAAATATTTTTCTATATATTTTTCATATGAAATTTAAATATTACATTTATTTAAATATTTACTTTACTTTTTTAAATAATTACAGATATAGTTTCTGTATATTAATTGAAACATTTTATTAAATTTTTCCTTGCATATTTCTTTTCTTTAATTAATGTATTTTTTATGCTTTCTATGTAATTTCTGCACTTTCTCATTATTATTGAAGAGCAATAAATAGCCAACGGAGGTCTGTGAATGTCCTATATAACATAAAATGAAACCTACTACATATGTTTGTAATCCTTGGCGATCTTTGTACATGTGCTTTATAACACGAGATGAAACATACTACATGTGTTTGTAATCACTGGCGGTCTTTGCAAATGCCCTTTATAACAGGAGAGGATAGATGCTACATGGGTTTGTAATCATTGGCGATCTTTGTACATGCCCTTTATAACACAAGATGAAACATACTACATGTGTTTGTAATCACTAGCGGTCTTTGCAAATGCCCTTTATAACAGGAGAGGATAGATGCTACATGTGTTTGTAATCATTGGAGATCTTGTGAAAATTGGCGATTTTATTGGCACCAGTTTAAAAATATTGTAGCAGTAATATTAAATAAGTACATTATTTTCTTATGCATTTTTATATGTTCTTCTGTAAGGAATATATATATAAAGAGATCACCACATAGTTATTCCAAATAATAATACGAATGCGATAGAAATAACAGTTAACATGAAGCCAAAAATGGCGACATAACAGTCCTTGCTGTTCCTTCTGCACTAACGAGGACTTTGAGGGAACTCTGAAGTATCCTCATATCTTTTTCTCTATCCCAAGATTACAGGATAACTGGTCAAAGATGAACGTGTTCCCATTAATGTTAGAAGAGTCACGCCGTTCGGGCTATTCGTGCTTGCCGCAGCTAACAGGTTCTTTCTCTTCCTCCGAATAGTTATTTTTTCTCGCGGCCCTTTTCTTTTTTGGCTCTTTTCGCCTATGGTGCTCCCCGTCCGAGAACAAAGCGTTGGAAATTGCAGTCCAGTAATAAAATGGGTTCCGCTGAAATGGAAGACTGTAATTTAGGTCGCTCGTATCTCAGGGTACAATCAGAAGGGCAATTAAATGGATGTGATCAATCGTAATTGAGAGAGAAAAAAAATGTTACTTTGTATTGGAGATCTTGTAGTAGATCACTCTCATCTACAAATAATTTGCTTTATCTTGCCGGAATGAATTGGAAAATAGGGGTGTTTTTTTCCTTAAAAATAATGATGGTTATGGCAGATATTATATGATGTAAATTGATTGCTGCAGCATATATTTCGACACATACTTGTATATTTACAATTTTAAAAAAATTATACATAATAATAAGATCAAAACATTACGTTGAAGAATTTTTTTAATTAAATCCTATCAAAATTAAATACAAAAATTCAATAAATGCCAGTATTAGCAATATTTTAGTTAACGTTCTTATAAATAAGGTATAAATGTGATTTCTTGAAAGATGTTAGAAAGGCCATTAAATTAATCTTGTTAAATTGCATAATCATCAGCATAAAAAAAATCAAACTTAAAATGTTTCCTGATTTGTATGACAAAATTGTATAAGTCAAATTCACTATAGTAAGGATAATTGTAGATGAGTAGATACGATCTGAATATGTAAAATATTTACAATTGCAATTTGTTTTTAACAGGGGTGATTGCAATGCATATATATATATATATATATATATATTTAATAATAGAGGGCACTGTTTCGATAGATAAGTGATAGTGCTGTGTTGGTTTCAATCATCATTCCCTACACACATTTGAAAGATAATGCATTGTTACACCAATTCGGAGCTCGTAGACATGCATTTCTGGAAATGGAAGAGGAGTGACTGGAAACGGAAGGGGAGTTTTTTCTCAAAGGCAGTATATTATATATTATATGTATTGTACAGGGAGGGATTTCCGGTGTGGCAGCTTTCTCATCATTAAATAGCCAAACCCACATTCACATACTAAATCTACTTATTTTGGTCCCCTCTACTTCTCTTTATATTTTGGCCAGACATTTTTGAAACAACCTGTTTGTAGATAGAGAGAGACGAAGAAAGAAAGCGCAATTTCATATACATTAAGAAAGACATTAATCGAAAAAGTTAAAATGCATCATTACATTTAATTAAAAAATAATACACAATTGAAATTAACAAGAAAAATTAGCATAACAACAACAACTTATTATATATTATTATAGCAATAAAACTCTATGTCCAAAAATATCTTCATAAATGTTTTCATAAGATATAAAACAGTATGGTACGTATACGCCATTACATTTAATGCATAATCGATAACAAAGTGCTTAGATGTATGAATATAAAAGTTAAAAGATAAATATAACATAATCTTGTATATATTACAAATATTTACATAACAAATATTAAGTTAATATTTAAGTGTGCAAATAAATAAAAGTTTTAAACATGTGTTTTGAATTATAAATGCATTGTGATAGTTTGATATGCATATTTTTAAATATTTACACAAGTAATTTGTAAAAGGAACTTTGAGATTACTACTACAAACTTTTTTAAATCGACAAAAATGACATTTACGCAAACATAATTTATTCTTATGATATTCGTTTGTTATTTTACATTCAAGATATATTACTGATATTTTTTATACTACTAGAAAACATTTTTTTTAATATTATAACATCATTTTACAGAAAAATAATTTGAAACTTTTTTTTTGTAATCAGATTATATTGTTCAATATCTGTTCTTGTTATCTTGTTAAAAAGTCTACTTTTCATGAGGATTTTTAAGCTATTTCTATTTTAAATATATGTATTAATAAAATTATAAGAAAAATATCGTAATTACATAGTATTGAAGTGAATATTTACACTGACAAATAAAAAACAGCTTTTATTTTTACATTGTTACATGCATTTTAGCTCATCGAAATCAATACTGTAATTGAATTATAAGTCCCGCAATATGATAGTGCATATGCGTTAAAACTAAGCATGTGTTGTCGTATGTGAAGCATAATACTTTAAATTAGAGTGTCAATTACAGAATGTAAATAATTTATTTGTACTTAATTAAAATTAAGAGTCCGCATTCAAGTTAAAATTATAAATTAAATAATAAAAAAAATAAAGTCATAAAATAAAAGATCTTTGCTTAACGGGGTAAAAAATCAAAAATCTGTGTAACATATTAATATACAGTCTCCATGTTAACTGAAAATTAAACGAGGATAAATGCGGGTGAATTTAATTTTAGATCCATTAATAACATGATAACAATCATGATATTTTTGCATTATCCATTGTATTGAATTTTAATGATGCCTCATTTTAAAAGTTAAAATTATAGCAGTTGTAATAAATACTATAAATTTTCAAATTGCTTCGCAATTCTAATGGATTTAATAGTAAAGTCTTCTTTTTCTAGACATACTCGTATTAATATACAAACTTATATTATATAATTACCATAATTAAAAGATTTTAAATCTTTCATGTAAGAATTTATTTTAAATCATGATCATAATTAAAATGAAAACTTTGTTTAAAAAATAGTTTAAGTCAGGTTTTTTTTAGACAGGTTTTAGTTAAAATAAAAAAAGAAAAAAATAATACCACATCTACGATTCTTATTTGGAAAAGGGTTTCACATCAAACATTTAAATTGTGCTTGGAAAAACACAGCTCCTTTTTGAAGGCCCCTTCTAAGCATTTTAACAAAGAAAAATTGCAGTAAAAAGAAAGAATAAAATTCTGGTATGATGATTTTAACTTGAAAAGAGAACTCATTTTTCTATCTTTCCTGCATTTACAAGCTAACAGTTTGCGGAAATGCTACTGAAACTATCACTTGAATGAGTTGGAAGAGAAAAAAAATAGATAAAGCCAGAAACTCGGACAAATGATTTTGAGCGCTTTATTGCAAAATATAAGTACCATTTTTCGAGAGTAGGAAAATTTTCGAAACCGAAAAATTCTTTTCACGCCGCTTTATCTAGGACTCGGTCCAAGAAAAATATTATTTTTTTTTCACCGAGCATTTAATTTGAGCATTAAGAAGAAGGAAAACAGTCTCTAAGATGATAAAACTTTACAAAAGTGTTTATTATGCGTAGAAAAGCAGAGATAATTTGTAAATGGATAGAAAGCAAATTCTGGAACCTTTCCAAAAGAGTGATTTTTGGTCTTGGCCTTGTTCTAAACGGTCTCATTAGTTGAGACTGACTAATTAACAAAACCGAACCAAGTACTAAGAGAGAGAGAGAGAGAGTTACTCTTGCTGTTCGCAGTGACATTTTTAGGGGAATACGGGGAACGGGATGGATTCTTTGAGATTTCGTTGTTGTTCACAATGAGTTAAGGTGTCAAAGGAAGAAAGTTTTGTGTCTCCTCCTTAACAATAACGGAGGAAGTTTTTGTTTGTGACAAATACATTTCCAAAAGACTATAAAGGGAACAATTAACTAAGAGGTTGTTCAGAAATTTCAGTATGCTCTACTTTCTCTTATTTTTATCTTTTGTAAGAAGAGCAAAATAACATATCTTTCAAAGAGGTACTTCATATTTATGAAAAGAACTGAAAACTAACAAGAATTTTATATGCTTATATCTTGCAATTATTCGTAATAAGTGCATACAAAAAGTGTCTTCAACTTTAATTTTTGTTCTTATACATACACTGGCGGAAAAAAACATTCCAACACCAAGAAAGACTAGTGTTAGATAAACGAAATTTGGTAGGCGGGTTTAAACATCTCAATTTTCGACCTTTTTGCATA